GGTCCATTCCCTCCTTTCTATTCCAACTTTGCCATTATTTTCCATGTAAACACATGTGAAGGACAAATGTTATGCTCACTTATTTTAAGGTGCCTTGCTTTTACATGCAGAGCCATTCATTAAAGTTAGTTCCACAGCCAGGGCCGGAGTGGGACTCCTTTTCAGCCCTGGAGTTTCAAGCATTAGACCGACCCACCTCAGTTCACGACTGACTATATTAAAATAAGGTCATTTCTAATTCGGTCACATCTTTTTCAAGAAAACAACTGCTTTAGAACTTTAAATGTTCAACAACCTTACAGTTTTTTATGTCTTAACAATAACAATGAAAAAAAATAAAAATAAATAAATTACTCAGGTGAGGATCGAACATGGATCGACGATGTCATAACGCAACGTGCTGACCACTGGACCACAATGGCGCTGTTACGTTTGTGTGGCCGGAATGATAGTTACATCATCATTACCCTGCAGGCAGCATTTTGCTCATGGGGCTGCGAGACAATAAATAAGAAGAGTGGAGCTGCGGCAAAATAATGAATAAAAAGAGTGAGGCTATGGTCAAATAAATAAATAAATGAAAAAAGTGCGACTGCTTTGAGTGCAAGCAGCTAGAAACACCGGCCCTCATGGCCAAAAAATGGACCGGCCCTCTGGGAACTCTCCCGGTCTTCCCGATTGGCCAATCCGGGCCTGTCCACAGCTATGAACCAATCAGAATAACTCAAGAGGATGGGCAAGCATCGCCAGCTTCTGTTTAAACAAGTTGGCCTTACAACAGTATAATTTGATGTTAACATGGTTGAAGTAGCACTTATTTTAAAACCATTCCTGTGTGCTGCAATGACGAGTACTGTGTGAATATTTGCAAACTTAATACTTTTTCATTTAATATTAAGGGTGCTTTCACACCTTTTCTTTTGGAACCTGGTGCATTTCCCAAGTTATCGTGGTTCGTTTGGCATATGTGAACCCAGCTATCGCTCTCGGACCTACGCCAAAACAATTGATCTGAAATCACCTGATTGAGGTGATCTCGGCTTGATTGAAACAAATTCTAGGACAGATCGATTTTAGTAAGAAAGCAATACAATCTGAATCAAGCTATACCACAGTGTATTATAGATATGTAATAGGCATATATACGGCTAAATGAAGAGAGAATTATGAGTAGGGCGGAATGTGATTCCTACTGGTAAATGTGCATTTTATGTCAAATACGAAAGTGAAAGCATGCTGAACTACAGTTGAAGTCAGAATTATTAGCCCCCTTTTGATTTTTATTTCCTTTTTTAAATATTTGCCAAATGATTTTTAACAGAGCAATGAAATTTTCACAGTATGTCTAATAATATTTTTTGTTCTGGAGAAAGTCTTATTTGTTTTATTTCGGCTAGAATAAAAGCAGTTATTAATTAAAAAAAAAACATTTTTGGGACAAAATTATTAGCCCCTTTAAGCTAATTTTTTTTTTTTTTTGATAATCTACAGAACAAACCATCGTTATACAATAACTTGACTAATTACCCTAACCTAGTTCACCTTATTAACCTAGCCTTTTAATGTCACTTTAAGCTGTATAGAAGTGTCTTGAAAAATATCTAGTAAAATTTTATTTACTGTCATCATGGAAAAGATAAAAGAAATCAGTTATTAGAAATAGGTTTTTAAAACTATTATGCTTAGAAATGTGCTGAAACAATCTTCATTTATCTATTATTTCTCTCTATAATGTAAAGCCTACAATGCACAATTCTAGCCAACGGCTCTGTATGAGAAAGTCTTACCTCTGATTTATATTAGGTGACGATGTCTGTGGGTGTCACCATTCAAAATGAAATCGCAGGCTTTCGCTTATATTGCTTTATTGCTCATTGCCATAAATTAAAATAAGGTGGCATGACAGCTGAGCGGGACTCTGCAAAATAAACCACACAAGGAGACATAAGGAGAGTTTACTCGCACGTGACTTGTTTTAGCTATTTTGGTTCGTTTAGAAACTTTGCCATGTGAAAGTGAACCGCACCAAGAACAAAGTGCAACAATGTAACAATTTGAATCCCTGTTTCAGAACAAAACAATCAATCTACAGATGTAAAAGCACCCTAGCAGGCAACATCTGTTATCAAAACACAAGTATTTTCCAACTGATGTTATCTCCCTTGTGTATGGATTTTGAGCATTCCTTCTTCTTTCGTCATGCTCTACATCTTCACAGGAGCGCTCAGTGCAACACATGACCATTAAAAGAACATTGATGGCAATTCCAATCAAAATCTATATAAGTAGCGTAAATATTTTGTTTTTAATTCACTTTCACACAATAGGTCACACACATCACATAACAGGTCAGTACTACTGTTCTACTACTGTTCGACCACTTTGAAAATGGTACATATTTCAAGTACTTCTGGAAGTGGTTGAATACAGACGAGTTCAAAACGCTTTAGCCCCAGTGTATATATTATTACCTATATTTATTGTTGATAATTTGGGATTGGATTATCAAAATATTCATCTTATAGGTGTAGGTCAAGCCATAGAGTGCATTCTGAATCTTCAATACTTGTGTTTGCAATTAGCAGGGTTCGAAGAAAGTTGGGTCTGCGTACCCGTACCATGAGCCGCACTGCAGTGGGCGGAGTCGCAGCAATGGAGGGTCAACTAGCACTCAGTGTTTTAGCAGAGAAGCTCAAGAAGGAGGTTCAGCGGAAAGACGCCTTGGCCACAACTGGATCCACACCTCTGAACGTACGTACCGAGGGTCGGACAGGTGGCATCAGCATCACCTCGGCTTGCCAGCCGTCGCCCACCCCTAGTAACGAAAGCACGGACACAGCCTCCGAGATTGGTAGTGCATTCAACTCCCCACTGCGGTCACCAGCTCGATCACAGGCGACTACACGTCCCTCCAGCCCAGTGGCTTCCCATGTAGGCCGCGTGCTGTTTGGGGAAGAGGAGGGGCTGCCTAGGTTAGATGCCCGACACAATCGGGCTGTCCGAGACTTGGGGGTGCTCGTGAGCTCAACACAGCTCCAACTGCAAGAGGATGGAGTCATATTTGCCCTGCCACCTACAGGTACGCATTCAAAACTACAAGATTTAACTAGAGATGCACTGATTGACAAACTAAGGACTGTCATTTTTGCTTGCCCCGTGATCATCTGGAAAGTTCCAGCTGAACTGAAGCTAACTTTGATCTCATTTGACAGAAGCATTGGAGGGGTTGAAGAAAGTGGGTGGTGTGGATAAGAAGAAGAAAGAAGAGGCGAGTGGTCCAGGAGGGGAGGAGGAGGTGAAGGAGGGACCATCAGTGGAGATGAAAGCAGAGGACGTCAAAGAGTCAGTTGACGTCAAACCTGAGAAGGAGAACCTGCCGACCACTGATGTTGAGAACAGCACCAAACCTCCTGGGGAAAAATACACTCCTAAGGTAAGACGGTGACCGTTTATTTGTCAAATCATGGTTAAATTACGCGATGTCACATAGAAGGGTTTCTCTCAAACAGGAGTTGCTAGCTTTGCTGAAGTATGTGGAAGCAGATATCGCCAACTACGAAGTGTATTTGAAAGAAGAAGTGGAAAAAAGGAAGAAGTACAAGGTAGGTGATTGATTCCTCACAGGATTTTGTCCTCAAAGTATGGAATGAGCTTATTGAGATATGTTTTCAGATTGATGACCAGAGGAGGACTCATAACTATGACGAGTTTATCTGCACCTTCATATCAATGCTTGCACAAGAAGGTAAAAAAAAACATTAATTCTTCCACAGAACACAAAAATAAGATATTTTTGAATAAGATATATTCATGATGGCAGTGGGAACATTCTGCTAAATATCTCCTAGTGAGTTTTAATAATTGTTTTCAGTAAATTAATATTATGAAAGTCAATGGATTTTCAATATACCATCTTTTCTGTTCATCACAAGAAATAAACTGAAATATGTTTCAAACAAGCAAAGTGTCAGTAAATAATAATCGATTAATATTTTGGGTGAACTATCCCTTTAGCAAGCTATGAGTTGCACCAAAATGAACTTAAATACATTTTCAGTCAATTATTTTATTGTAATCAAATGTGCCTTTGGTGGTTTGCAGGTATGTTGGCGAGTCTGGTGGAGCAGAACATCTCTGTGCGTCGGCGACAAGGCGTAAGCATCGGTCGGCTTCACAAACAACGCAAACCTGATCGGCGGAAACGTTCACGGCCATACAAAGCCAAACGGCAATAGAAGATGATGATACAAATAAATCAAATGACAGCAACCCCACAACCCATTTTGGAGAGACATTGTCCAAAAATCATTTCTGAATATCAACAGCAATGCTAAAATGCAGAATTGACAGTGTTAGCTAAGTTATCAATAGCTTAATCAGTTGTTTGCATCGTAAACGTACATGCACACCATCAGTTCCAAAGCAAATGAGCTATGCTCAATGTTTATAGATACTAAAACATTTTTCATGTTGCCATATGGAGTCATTACTTTGTACTGTATCAAAGCTAATCATAAAACCAACAATCATTGGAGCGCCATTTTGGGAAATATCCAGTCAAGGTTTTACCAAAGATAGTGCTTCAAGTTTAGTTGATAAGTGGTGGTGTATTTAGTTAACAAATGGATGAAATGTAAGAAATAAGCTGTTTTCAGATATCCTGGGATCAACCGTTCAGTCATTTTATTCGTAAGAAACTCAAAAATCATGAACAAAAGTTGGTTTGTGTGACAAATCTTCACTGTAATCGTTTGATTTTGGTTACCGTTTACTTGCTCTTCACGATTTTCTTGCCTTTTTTATCCTGGGGGTTTGTTTCTGATATGTTCCGTTTGCTTGTACATATGTATTTGTGTTGTCTGATGTCTGCACGGGTACTGTCAGATTTAGACATTAAAATTAATGTTTCGAATTACAATGACGTCTTGGATTCATCTGAGACATTTTGTATGGATGTAACATTTTTAAGTAAATAAATAAGACGCACCCACACACCTGAAGACTGGTTACGCCCACGCCTCCGAAGAAAAGCGAAGTGAAGAGCAGCATGGCTTCCAGCATCTCGGTTGTTCTCCTGCTGTTCGCGGGTTTATTCCAGAATATTGTCAGTAAGTGTTGAAGAAAGCGCCTCTACGCGTTTAACTCATTTAAAAGGTTAAAACTACATCACACGATGGACGTCGGTTAACTTGAAGAATGATTTATTACGAGACCGTTTTAAAGATACATTTTCTAGTCATCTGATGTTTGTTTGTTTTTTGTCCCGATTGTAAGATAATTTCGCGCGTTCGGCACTCAAGCAAGCTTTTCCCCCACACGTGTTAGTCGTTTATGTGTAAACTAAACCGGTAATATTTGTCTTTAAATATAAACCTTTACAGTCTATGATATAAACGCATTGAAATTTAATCGTAGTATTTTTTTTTTCATTTCATAATAACGTAGCTATGTCCGATTATTGACAAACCAGACATAACTTTTTAATCATAATAGAAAATTGTATTTAAAGTTTTAATGACTCTGTTCAAAAACCAAAACGTTGTAAATTCATACAGAACATTTGGCCTTTTACAAATAAATTTAAATTAATGTACTTAAAGTACAACAAAATTTTATAGTTGTTTAATGCAAGTTATATTAATATATTTTACGTAACTTGGGTTTGTTTCAACAACTGTGGCTTTATTAACATGCATCATGCAAGATACTTTGTTGTTTTATCAATAAATTACTGCACTAATATATTTTATAATTTACGCACCCAGTAACTTGACAGTCTATTTTACTAACATATTCATGACTGTTCAGTAAAATATTAGAAAATGCAAACTTCTGATAAAAGGTTTTATGGTGTAGGTTCATGGAAACAAAGGCCAAAATGCATGCATATGTGATTTTTTGAAAAGATGCATATTATAAAAGTGATTATCACAAACCATAGACAAGATTCACCAATTGCACTATGTATTTAATTTTTAAATACATTTCTGTGGATCAGTGTGAGCAGATCATTGTGATAATTTTGTCTGTATGCAAAATGTCTTTAAATCAAGTACATCCTTTTATGAACTTTGGTAAAAAAAAAAAAAAAAATAGTAGTTTGTATTTCTAGGATGTCTCTAATAAACATAACTTGGATTTAAACAATTGATACAAGCAATCCACCACATAAAAGTATGTAAATTGCCCCTTTTTTCTTAATTGGCAAATTTTTTTTCTGTTCTTTTGTTTAGGCTATGAAGACTGTTACAGTGTTATTAAGAATGAATTTGTAGTCTGTGGTTGGTTGACCAACAATTTCTGCTGTGGGACCTGTAATGGCACTTACTGCTGCGATGACCCTCATAAAAGAATCACCAGAAACGAATTAGACGACTGTTTTTGGTAAGCAATTACTTGTTTTTAAAAATATAAATCAAACTGCATGTTGTTCCCTCTAACTGATAACACTGGGAAATTATTCTGATAATTTTGCAATAAGTTATAATTTTGCAACCAGATTTTTGGAATAATGAACAACCCAGCAGTTCAGCTGTTTGCTTATGAATGTTAAAAATTAGTAGACAACTCAATTTTAAATGGGGTGTATGCATACAGACTTTCAGTCAGCCAGCCCCAGGGCTTCCGGTTAAGTCATCCAATTGGAAATCGCTGTGTTTAAGATCTGATTTCTTTTAAAAACAGCGATCTTTACTGCCTGGCTGAGATGTAATATATAGTCGGTATCCAACTAGAAGACCAAACATCGGTAGACCAAACAAGAAGCACTGCATTAAATTCTATTTTCTAGTTTTGTGCTAGCCTTTCACCGGAAGTTCATGATTGGCTGTAAATCACTAACTGTGCATAGCCCAACAGCTTTAACATAATTTATGTACAAAAGTTTGACCAATGGTCAATTTTCTTGTGTTAACATTTTTATTCTGTGAGATTCAGAGTACAGGAACTCTTAAAGAGGAAATGCCTTCTTACCATCATTTCCCCATTTATTATGAGCACAAACCACTTTGGTCCCGAGAGGACAGAAAATAAATGGGTTGCTTTGAATTTCATTATAAGCAAATCTTTGGTTCAGTTTAAACAAGCGAAACAGACCCATAAGCTAATGTTTTTGTTGTATAAAGTTGCATTGCTAATATATATTCTCTATTTTCTCTCCACAAGGAAAGACTTCAAGGCTTTGGAAGGAAAGTTGAATTTTCTTCAACCAAAGAAAATCACAACTGACAACACGTGTGTCGCAGTTTATTCCTCTTTAATTGGAGTTGTGGCCTTCATCGTTGTGTTCATCATCTGCTGGGTCTCTCCCTCCTGCTTTCTCCATAAGAGATTCAGAAATCCTGGATGTAAGAGTCAATAGCTTTGTTTTCATGCGACTTAGATTTATGCGAAAAATATTGCATTTTGCATAAAACCCTTGCGAATAAAGCACCGGTTCCAGCTAATGTATTAAAGACAACAACAAGTTGGCACTAAAATGAGAATATTTTTGTGATATGAGAAGCTACTGTGGGCCTTTTTTCTCATATAATTAATAACTTGCACTAGAACGTGTGGCGTGAGATTAGACCAGTCACAGTATAAAATATCGACTTATCGTACAACACATTGACATGATCTTAATCATTTTTGGCTATATATATATATATATATATATATCACTTAGGGCTGTGTGATTAATCGAATCGCAATTTAAAACGTTGCATTTTAACTATTTGCAAGAAGCTGTTATATGAAGTTTATATTAGGGCTGTGTATTGGTAAGGGCCTCACAATATGATACACATCATGATACATAGTGCACGATACAACATATCACGATACAACATATCACGCAGCATTCAGGAATGGTTTATATTAGTATGTGTGTCATGTTATATTGAAAACTTTATAAAGTCAGCAGACGAATTAAAATTCCAATTTATTTTCTATCCATTTCAATTCATTAGAACTGCACGATGTGATTGAACAGAGAACTCACTGAAATGTATTAAATGCATATTGCTATTAAACACTTAACTAAAATGTATATGCCACTAAAGTCACATATAAATGAAATAATTTATAAAACTAAAGCAAGTAAAAAATTAAATGCACCATGTAATCATGAAACGGGAACACAGTGCTCTAATATGCTGTAAACTATTAGAAAATTTTAGTGTCCAAAAACAGGGCTCAAAATTGCGACTGTTTTGGTCGCGTATGCGCCCAAAATTTTATCTATGTGACCTCAAAATATATTTGGGAGCATTTGTGCGAGTTCATAAAATTGTTGTTGCGCGACTACTTTTCACATTTTCACCACATGCGCGGATTTAGAAGGCATTCACGCATTAAGCATCTTTGCATCTAAAAACACCAAACGCAGCACTCAGGATTGGTTTAAAACAGTCGTCATGTCAACTTGCTGCAGCAAACAAAGCCCTCAATGCTTGCCCCACCTTCAAGCTCTTCTTATTGGCCAACGGCGCTAGAACAGAACGTGAATGGATTGGTTAATTTCAGATGTCAATTACTCCATTCCGATGACAGGGAGTTACAGTCGTGAAAATGTAAAGGTCTGGATACGAGAGAATGAAAGCAACACTGACAGATTTAGTTTTAGAAATCACCTAAAGTTAAAAATAATGGCACATCTGATCAGTGATCATGAAATGAATGTCAATCCAGCATTTACACTTTTCGAAGAGTGGATAAAGTCGTGCGACTGACAGCATTGTGAACATTTTGCTGTGAAAATTGGTCGCACACAGGTAAATTGATGGCACGTTTTTCATGCAACATGCTGACCAGCTGTGCTGCTACAGTCATGTTAGTCATGCGGCCTTGCATGAAAATCCAATCTGTTTTGCCATGAGCAAAAGTTGAAAGCTGTAATGCCTGTATCTAGCTTATTATGAGCATTTGGAAAGTATTTTCTGCTCCATTTTGATTGCACCACTTGTACTCCATGCACAAGATGAGAACACATGTTGGTATGAAAGGAAAAAATCTGGCTGTACAGTAAAATTGGTTTACAAGTTTACCTAAACCAATATGCTTGTGGTCATTAATTGTAATCATTATAAGAACATGCATGAATGTTTTTAGATTCAATCCAACAGTGTCTACGTTTACTTGGACATCAGTATTCAAATTATTTGCTATAATCTGATTAAGACAATAATATGATTAAGGTGTTTATGAGTTGCTTTTTGAGTGTTCCTTTCATGATCCCGTTTAACATGTTACATCACATTAACGGCGATTAACGACTTTGCGTCACCACGCTGTCCACATTTCCTCTGGAGTTTCATGTACTTTCGGCTGCTACATTTGTAATATTTCTGCTTTAACTGTAGTTCAGCAGTTTCACTTTCATTTAGGAACATCTCATTCATGCCCCCCATGACAAACTGAGGTATTGGATGAGAGTACGAATTAAGGACTGGTGGAAGAGTATTGTTTTAATGGAATTTGATACCGTACGCCGAAAGGGGGGAAAAAAACAACATTTTGTGGTATGTGGCCCCTCACTGACTTGATAAGTGCAGAGAATAGTGTCAAACAGCCGTGTGTGTAAAGACTATCCTGTCCTAGTCCTACATTTCTGTATTGCACTTCAATAATGCGACTAAAATCGGCATACTCTGTCTTAATTTGATTAAGTTTAGTTCGATTATGACATTAGTTGGATTAAATCAATCAAAAATCGATGTTTACATGGTAGACTCTCAACCAAAGTATTGTCTTAATCGTATTAAAATCAGATAGTGTCCATGTAAATGTACTCATTGTACAACTTTTGATTCTTCACACAGCTGTGTTGTCGACTTCTACATTCGTGACGACACAATGCCTTCCACAGCTTGACAGTAAGAACGGCCACTACCCTCCATACCAGCCTTTGTCAAATGACCCACCACACGGAGACCAACTAATGCCAACTGGATCTTTGAATGGACCACCACCATCATATCTGGATGCTGGTAAAATCTTCCTTTCTTAATTGTTTCTAATCCAAATATCTAAATTCTTAAATCAAGAAGCATTTTCTAGACGAGCTAGTAAACCTAAACCGTATTATATGCCTAAACAATATCAAACTCAACTAGACACCATTTGAACAGTATTGTTTTCTCACTGATATCTTTAAAGACCTCCTAAAACATAGTGGTGGAACTGTTTAAATAATTGCTGTCTTTAATTTCGTGTCCAGATGGAGGTCAGACTGTGGACCCTAAACAACCAGCAATGCAGATGGACTATACGTCGCTTCCATTAGCTGTAAACCCTGTTTATGTGGAATCACCCGGAATAACTAGAGTTCAGATGCCCAAGACTGGTTACTAAACCAACTCCAGTGTGTCTGAGATTGTAAACTTGTTGGATTGTAAATATATTGATTTGATTCATTAAATGTTACTCGCAAGTGTAAAGTTGACTTTCAGAGTCTGGAGTTGAAGAAACCAAACGTTTTGAACTTGTTCAGTTAATCTTTCAGTTTTAAAGCAGATGAAATTTTGAGTATAGTTCTTTGTAAATGTTTTTTTTCTTCAGTTTTCTTGGATCTAGACATTAAAAACAATGTTCAAACTGCACTGGCGGTCATTGGTTTCCTCTTGGGTTTGTCACATGGACATGGGAGGCACTTATCATCAGGATTGTTTGGGTTACACGAGCAACAACAGCATAACTGAGCATAATTAATTCTGCAGTCTCCGGAAATACGCCATGTACACTAAACCCAGCACTAAATGGGAAGAGCTGCGCTATGGTGTACGCAGTCATGTTTCTTCTGTGCCTTTCTGCGGTTATATTCAAAGTGACATTAGGTAAGTGACCAAATATATTGATGTTAACTGTAAAAATGAGCAGATAAACTAAAAGTACTTGTAATTAAATTAAAATGTAGTTTGTGATTCACAATATAACTACACTTGGATTTGTTACTCCCCTTTAAAACTGAATCACTTAATTTCTGTTCTTCCTTCATAGCTCTTGAGGATTGTACATCCTACAATGCCAGCAGGGGTGATCTTGTATTGTGTAGCAGAAGGTCTTTCTTCTGCTGTGGGACGTGCGATAAGATGTACTGCTGCAACAATCGGAAGGAAAAAATAACCAAAGATGAACTAAACGACTGTCTTTCGTAAGAAATGATAGTTTTTAACATTTTTAATAACTAAGAACAAGTTCACCAGCTGTAAAGCTGAAACCTGGTAGTAATTTTTATTGTTTTTATTCAAGTTTCAGACTAATTACCAATGAATGATCAATTCTGAAAACTGTCTGCATGCTTGGCTACATATTTGACTGAATTAATTAAGGTCACAATACTCAATTTTAACTGTGTCTCTTTCCAGAAACAACACCTTGCCAAGTCATTCTCCCCATCAACTGGACCGAACAGTGTTCATTGAGCCCATAGTCATGTTTTTAGTGTTTATCGTCATTGTGTTCATCATCATCTGCTGCAGTGAAAAAAGGATCAGAAACAGACGTAAGTTTCGATGGTAAACATGTGAAGGGCTGGATGATTTTATTTATAATGCAGCTCCATCTATTGATTTTTCCCAACAAAAGTGATGTCGACAACTACAGTCACGACTACACAACACAATCCCCAAGAAGGCCTGTACTCCGCTTACCAGCCTGTGTTTAATAATCCACAATCACCCACTATGCCAATGGGGCAGCTTTATGCACCGGGACCTCCGCCTTCATACCATGAGGCTGGTAAGATCTGCACATTATTTGAGATTATTTAGGACATTAATAAAATGCATGCGGGCAGTGAGTTATATTTGATTTTAGTGTTAAAGAGGGGGTCGATTTAAAAATGGCTGACATATCTACATCATATAATCAGATTCCAAATGTCAAGTATTTGTAATTTAGAGTAAACTACTTTTTAAAATACTTGTAATCATATTACAGTTACTCATGGATTACATATTATGTACTGTTAATGTTTAAGGTTGCAGTATTATTGATGTCAATTTAAGGTTGGTGTTTTTCTAGTTGTATTTAATTTTAAGGAAATGTTTTAAAATCGTAGGATGTAATTGTTTTATTCAGTGTTACTATTAGCAAACACTAACAGCGAGGTATATTAGCATTAGTATTTTGAAGTAACTGGCCATCATTGCACTTTAAAGAGAAGCTGTTGAGGCTCTTGTTGCTGATAAATATTCATGCATTCATGTATTTGTCCATGTGTATGTCAAAATAGTACAAGATTACCATTTTGGATATGGGTTGGCACAAAAGTAATCTAGATGTAATCCAAAAGTAATCAGATTACATTACCTTAAATGTGTAATCTAAAAGTAATCTAAAATTATATTTACGGACTTTTTTTTTTTTTTTTTTTTACAAATTTTGTCATGCAATTTGTAATTTGCTACTGATTACAATTTATAATCTTTTAGCAATAACTGTGGTCATTAACTGAATCATGAACGTACTTCTCAGGTGCTCTGTTTTAAAATAACACAGCATCACTCTAAAATAATACAATAAAAATTTTAAAAAATGTTTAAGCTTCTTAAATCACATGAATTATAACTAAAACTTAATGTTATTGCTTAATATTTTCAGAATCACTGCGGTGTATTCATTTTAAATTGTGGATATGTCTTAATTTTAAATTGTGGATGTGTTAATTTTAAATTGTGGATATGTATTAATTTTAAATTGTAGATATGTATTAATTTTAAATTGTGGAATCAAATGTGCATATGTGACCCTGGAACACAAATCCAGTTATAAGGGTGAACTATTTTAAAATGAAGATTTACACATCATCTGACAGCTGAATATATGACCTTTCCATTGATGTATGCTCAGTATTTGAGTTGATATATGGCTAAGATACAACTATTTAAAAAATCTGGAAAACTAGTTTTTACCATTGCGTATTACTTATCAAAGATTCAAAGAATTATCAAGTATCAAAGTTTTTATGTTATGATAGGAAATTAAAGAAGTCTCTTTGTAGAACAGGAACCAACACAGGCTCACTGGGAATATGTGTCCAGAGCTACATATTTGAGAACCGTGAAATATGCATCCTGGGCTTTGCTGTATTTTGTTTGTAAAATGAACGCTACGCCACCGACATCTGTTCCTTTTAGTGCTATACTGCTGAATGCTTACCTCCGTTTGAATTACTTTTCTGGTGTGACAAGTTTGCTTGATAGTTCATTACATATGGTGTTGGACTTGGGACGTGGTGGGGACTGAACCAGGATTTAAATCTGGTGAAAGACCGGAAACCAGGTAAATCGAAACAAAAAAGGCATTGTGGTAAAAGCACACAGCGACCGCTCTCTCTCACTCTTTCTCATGGATGCGCACAAGAAGGACTTTAAGATGGGCAGAAATGCACATTAGAGCCCCTTTATCGGCAATTTTCCGGAAAGGTCTGTATGTGTGAACAGGCCCTTTTTGAAAATACCTGTAAATTCGTTCTGGCTATTTTCCAGAAAGAGCAGTTGTAAGACTACCGGTAATTTGCCGGAATGCTGTGCTGCGGGAACACAGAAGGAATATTGCCGGAAAGAGCACGTTCACGTCTAGAACGTGCTGACGTGAGACGTCAACTTTAGCCAAACAGTACAGTCACACGCGTTCACAACTGCGCGGTTTATGAAAATAAAAGCCTTTGAATGTTTTTCCTGACACACTGAGCTACTAGATGTTAATCAGATAATGTTTGTGTTCCTTCTTAATGCCAACTTGTACATAAACAACGGCTTACCACAAGCATCTTATCGATAATTATTTACCTTCAAGCTCTGCTTCCTTCAGTTGCTTGACGTGTCGCGTGTGCCCGTAAAAAAGTGAGCGCCAGCACACACACGTTATGTACATCTCGACATGTGAAAGTGTTTCTCTATATGTTTTCATCTAAGTTGTTCACAATACTGATTCATCCATAGAGTTTGTAATGTAGTCAAATGTTTACAAATACAAGCGCAGCTGTTTAGAGCTCACTTCTGGTTAATGATGTCAGAGTTTTCCAGATATTTACCAGTATTACTGTGTGAAAAGGGCTAATAGCCTTTGTTGGATTTACAAGAAATGGCACATATGAGAAAACATGCCCATGTAACGCATTTAAGATTGGCTAAAATGTACACGGGTTTTGCGAAAACAAAAGCTGCAAATATACCTATATTTTGCAGTTCTCAAATATGTAGCCCTGGAAACACATTTCTATTAAGCCTAAGTTGATATAAACATGATCTTTACTTGATATTCTATGGATTTTTGGCATAAAAGGATTGATTGATTATACTTGTAATGTATACTTGGCTATTCCTATAAATATACCCACGTAAGTGAAGCCTGGTTTGTAGGGTCATATATGAATGTACAAGTCAGTTGAAGTGTATAGTCAACACCTGGCTGAAAACAAGAAATTACATTTTTAAATCAATGGATAGGCAATCTAAATGAAGTTACAGTCTGGCTTTTGTTTCCAGCAGGGTGTCCTTGTCCCATCAGCCAGTCTGCATATGACAGTGGTCAAGTCTTGTACTCCATACAACCAACAGAAGCTCAACCACCGCTGTCCATAGATTACAATCCACCAGCTTACAACCCTGCTTACGTGAATTCACTAAAGACCTCTTAATCCACATCAGGCTGTTCCTCTGCATGGCTGCAACTGTTACTCGAAAAACAAAACAGTGCATTAGTTCCATGAACCTAACCTGAGACTACAGACACGTCTTCCGCAATCTAATATCAATCACTTTTATAATACATTTATTGTTCAGTGTCTGACTTTCATTCTAAAGAAAATAAACTTGCAATGTGTTTCTGCACAGTGGCTTTAATAGAAAGTTGGAATTAATTTATTCCTTTTCTTTTCAGCTTAGTCCCTTTATTCATCTGGGGTTGCCACAACGGAATGAACCGTCAACTTATAGCATATGTTTTATGCAGCGGATGCCTTTCCAGCCACAACCCAACACCGGGAAACACCCATACACTCTTATATCCAGGAAACCCAAGAGAGCACGGGGAGAACAAAGTTAAAACTGCCAAATAATATTGTACTAGCAAAGTTTTTAAAGTTTATATATTCGTTATTTATACAAACAGCCTAGTTTTTTAATCTACAACAACTATGATTTCAGGTTCTTTAGTTATGTCAAAAGATGCCATATACTGCTCTTACATTGATGAGCAATATGCTTAAATTTAAAGTCTTTATGTGAAACAGCAGTCCAAAATGGTGCATAAAATAATCTTCAGCATAACAACAACAACAAGAATGTTTAACAGCAACGTCAGTGTTTGCACTTTCAGCAGTGAAAATTAAACCACACAGAACTGAATTAAACTGAACTGAAACTTTGAAAAACTTCAACTTATTAGAACTTCAACATTAACGTGCTTTGACAGAATCTACATTGTAAAAGCGCTAAAGAAATGAACATGAATTAAATTATTTATACAGGAGATTGCAAAGCATGCAAAAAGCTGCATTTTAAATTTAATTAATTTATTCTAAAATTTGTTATGGTTAAACATGCGAAAGAATGACGGTTACATAAATTTTTATAGTAGTTGTTCTAGCACTATACCTTGCAGATACCTTACTGGTAAATTATTGTTGGGATTTCTTGATGGCATTAGCCATTTCCTTGCGTGTTCAATGAGAGTCAGGAGAGGTTTTCTTTAATGCAGAAGTATTAGCAATTTAATGAATACAATTGAATAATTCGATAGATACAGAGCTCCGGGTTGGAGGTGTCCCTCACGTATGGTCAGGCCATCTAACAACTCTTTCCTTCAAGCCACTTTTATACACGTGTAAACAACTGGTGTTCTAGGAATTGGCCAGAGTGGTCCTTTACGTTCTGTATTATCTAGCCTTGGCACCACAGATCCTGGCCCCTTTTTATGTACATACATGAACATGACACAGCTAAATTACATACATAAACATGACACAACTATATAACATACATTGGCATAACACAGCTACATTCATACCAAAAAAAAAAAAAAGAGAGCTACAATTAATAGGAAATAAATTTCTGACAGTATCTATATGGATTAAATTGCAAAAAGCACTATTATTAAGTAACAAAAAATACATTCAGAAAATGTTTGGAACGCCTAAAATGCTCTGTAATGAAATTCAAGCTGCAATTTTTCACGTTTATTTGTTTAACGAACAATTAAATTGATTAATATTGTCTTAAAACATAGAAAACAGTCAGCATAAAAAGATTTAAGTAATTTTTCTAACGAAAAAACAAAAAACAAAACTTGAACTAATTGTTTTGGAGGCAGACAAATGACACTACTTTTAGATCTGTCGGAATTTCAAATAATTTGGCTCCTATTCCATAATGCCCCTTATTGAGAACAAAACAAAAGATTACAAATAACTAACTTCTGGATATTATTCTATCAACTACCAGTCACTGGGGAACTTTGAAGTTAAGCTTTCTAAGAGTAGCATAAAATGTGTTTTATGAAGAATTGATACAACATATAATGTCTAACCCTGGTTCCTTTTTTTTTTTTCAAGATTTCATAAGTTTCACTTTTGTTTCACCCAAATCGTGCAGTTGATGATAGAAAAAAGGAGGTGTGGTGAGGGGTTGTTCATATGGCCATCTGCCAGATTTGCATTCACCGGAATTGGGTAGGCTTTGTTAACACTGTAAGAATATCTTCAGAAGGTAGAAAGATATTGACGAGGAAGATGTTTGCTATGGCCTCCACCTTTGCAGTTCTCCTGCTCGTGTCCTCAGGTTTATTTAAGACAACAACTGGTAAGTTGTTAACTGTGTTTGTTTGGTTTACAGATGATTTCCTGCAGAATACAAAACTAATTTAAACAGCATTTGATGTCAGCTAACGTTTTCTTTTTGTTGTGGCATTCATGTTGTGCGAAGTACTTTTTGTTCCTCGGAGTAGGTTCAACCAATAAGATCAAGTTTAGGTTAAAAAGATTAGATTAAATCAAGATTAATTACATTAAATCAAGTTAATAATGATAATAATAATAATAATAATAATAATTGAAGAAGACTTTGATTCTGATTTATTTTTTTTTTATCTTGACTCTCCAAATTAAAATTTATATTTTGCACTGTAACACTTCAAATTTGAGGCAGAGGAGGTTTAAGAATTGTACAAATGTAAAAATGTATGATCTGATAGTTAGTAATGTTTAATTTAGTAATTCAATTTACTTGCATGAGCCCTTTGAAGTGAATAATGACAAAAGGGTAGAACTAATTACAGCAATTTAGAACCACTATCAATGTTGTAACGACAAACCAATTTCCGACAAAACTCAGATCAACAAGTGCCAGCTCTAAACTTTGCTTATTGCCATGAAACTTACATCCACTTGAAACTGTCCAGAAATTAGACAAAAAGTAAAGTGGTGTGGGGCATGATTTCATAATTTGGGAACCAATTAAATTGTTGGAAGAAAGATATTGCTAACAAAATGATTAAAAACTGGACCGCTAGATGAATGAAGGCAGGGCAAAAAACCCCCCCAAAAAACGCCTTGATAGCTCCGCCCTAAAGACATTCCAAGTGAGCAGAGGTGAAGATAAGTGGTTTTGAGGAGGGAGGGAAGATTATTATGGTTTTTGATTAAAGATTTTGAGGGTAAATGAATTTTAACAAATAATGAAGTGCACAGATACATTGTCACTGAAGAAGAAAATACATTAGTTCTGATATCACTGACTTATATTTAATCCTGGTCTACATTGTCATTTGTTTATCTGTCATACCATGCCTCATGTTTCTCATGTGCTATTTCGTGTTTAGGTGACTACTGCTACAGCTACCTCACAGAAGATAACAAGCTCAAGGACACGATCAATTGCCTTGGGTTATATTGCTGTGGGAACTGTAAACTTAGATACTGCTGTCCGTTTTCATCGCTCCAGTTTACCGAAAGTGAACAATTCTTCTGCAACTTGTAAGGAATTAGAAAAAAGCAAATGTTGAATGTTTTAGCTGATAAATAAATATTGTGGTCCATTGTGTTTTACATCTACAGAAAAGAACCATTTTTACTTAAACCCTTTGTAATTTTCTCCCTCATACATTTGATTTCAGGTGAAATGTGTCACGTGTGGTGGTTTTGATACCTGTTGTTTTATTATTTTTGTAATGTAGGGCACAAATTGGGGTTTTGTTTTCCGCTCTGCTTCACTAACACAGATTGTGGTTGTTTTTACTGAGCTGCAGTTTGCAGATGAACTTCCCGCAGTAGATGGCTTTAACATCAAAGAATAAAATGTAGTTGAAAAAAGCCAGATTAATTTTGAAGACAAAAAAAAAATAATTCTTGTTTTTTAAGACAAAAGGAAAGTAACATGACACAATTTCCTTTTTTTTTTGTTAGTGAAAAATAATTTGGAGCAGAAAAGCAAGGCACAACCTGCAAACCTTTTATAATATGAGCTAATGTTTATATACTAATATGATTAAGTAAATAGCAATGCAATTCAGTTTTTACACACACATTCACTGGCCACTTTATTAGGTATACCTTACTAGTACCGGGTTGGACCCCCTTTTGCCTTCAGAACTGCCTTATTCCTTCGTGGCATAGATTCAACAAGATACTGAAAATATTCCTTAGAGATTTTGGTTCTCCATTGGATGCCATTCTCCTCTGGCATCAACAAGGCATTTGCACCCACAGAACTAACGCTCACTGGATATGTTCTCGTTTTCTGACCATTCTCTGTAAACCCTAGAGATGATTGTGGGTGAAAATCCCAGTAGATCGGCAGTTTCTGAAATACTAAGACCAGTCAGTCTGGCACCAACAACCATGCCACGTTTAAAGTCACTTAAATCACCTTTCTTCTCCATTCTGTTGCTCGGTTTGAACTGCAGCAGATCATCTTGACCAAGTCTACATGCCTAAATGCATTGAGTTGCTGCCATGTGATTGGCTGATTAGAAATTTGCATTTACACGCAGTTGGACAAGTGTATCTTATAAAGTGGCCGGTGAGTGTGTATGTATGTATGTATATAACTAAATTAGTATTGTCTTCTAAAACAAATTCTAATCTGTTTTTAACAACAACAAAAACTAACTAAATAACTTGTTTTTTTTCTGTTTCAAATTTGATTCACACATCATTTTTGAAGTGAAAGCTAATTATTTTCAGTGTCGGGAAAATAAACATTTTAAACTGTCATGTAAAATAATTTAGAATGAAAAATAAAAAATACAAAAGATTATATAAATACTATAACATACCAAAGGGTGTTTCTAATTCATATATTTACACGTCTGTCCAACAGCAATAATGATATTATCATTGCCTTAGTCGTGGGAGTTGTGATCATCATCATTGGGATCATCGTCTGCTGCTTCGTCTGCAGGATGTGCAGAAGAACCAGACGTAAGTGTTACCATGTTAAAGTAAATATGGTACAGTAAAAATTTAAAAACGGAATGATGCAGTCTTGTTTTTCCAACAGCTGTGGCAGGAGCACATGTAACTACAGTCATGAATACACAGTTAGTACAGCAGCAGCCTGGCATTCAGAATCCAGCATACCAGCCTGTGCCGACTCAACCAGGTTACAGCGCTCAGCCTGCACAAGTGGGACCATATCCACCCCAGCTATCTGCACCTGTCCCAAATAACACAGCCAGTAAGTAGACTTCTTTTCCACCAGCTATTAATAGGTTAGTTAACCCAGAAATGAAAATTGTGTTATTAAATGATTAATTACTCACCCTCATGTAGGTCCAAACTTGTAAGACCTTCGTTCATCTTTGAAAAGCAATTTAATATATTTTTGATGAAATCTGAGAGCTCTCTGACCCTCCATAGACAACAAGAGTCCCAAAACTGTTCACGGGTCTTCTGTGGTGTTACTGTAATTTTATGAAGCTACAAGAATATTTTTGCGCACACTCAGCTGATGCTAAACTGAAGAAACTGTTGACCAAAGTTGTTTTATTTTGTATGCGAGTGAATCACACTCGTATGTGAGTTGTAAGTCACAAGCTATGAGTTTTATTTATTTTTTTTATTATTCTAAAAACATTTGTAGGTTGATTCTTAAATGTTTTTTTTTTTTTACTTTACTAACATTTGATTATTAAAATGGAAAAAAAGACCAAAATACAGAGAACTGGTCTCTTAAGTAAAAGTGCACTCTAAAAAACAGTAGCGGTAAATGACAGCTGTAGTTGACAACTTTACTATTTAAAAATACGGTACAAACTGTTAAAGAAATTTCGCATTTTTTTCTAATAATTTTTATCGGGGTGTTCATCTTTATCGGATAAGAAAGTAGAGAAAATTGATAGGACTGCGAGGCGAAATCGAACTCGGGTAGCTGTGAGCACCAAATTGCATGTGTCGACGTACTAACCACTACACCACTGGCACTGACGAAATTTCTTATTTTTATTGTGAAATACTATCATTTAATTAGAGTGATAATCATCAACATATCATTTGTTAAAGGGGTCGATCGACAGTAATATTGATAGTATCAATACCAACATTGGTATCGGTACTGACACCAATATCGCCGATACTGGCCGTGTATTTACTTCCCTGCAGGCCAGGCACGTGCACACATAGGGCTCAACCTGTGCAGCGTACATGCCCTTTTTAGTCTTGGATATAAAGTGCCCTTCCGAAATGATCAAAAGTGCCCCCGCGACGCGACACACCCTCCATCCCGCCCTTCAGTAGGCGTGCAACAACACCGCTCTTGAGTACGCACGCGACAACACAGCTGATCAGAACGCGCGCGACAACACCGCTCTTCAGTACGTGCGCGACAGCGACAACGACAACAACAACCCTAAAATCTAAAATCAACAACCTAAAATCTACGTCTAATCATGCTACACTTTGACGTTGTGTGGACGTTACCACTATGACATCCATCAAACGTTGAATTTTGGTCACTTTTAAACCAACCTTAAAATCAACCAAAAATCTACGTAATTTGACATTGTTATTGGACGTCAAAATAACGTTGTCCTTAGACGCTGGGTAGACATTGACTTTTGGTCACCTGACGTCATGATCTAAATCTAACCCAATATTAACGTCTTATAATGTTATGTGGCTGCTGGGTTAGTATCGTATCGATACCAAATTTTTCAGTATCGCCCACCTCTACTTTGATACACAAACAAAAGAACAACATAGTAATGTCATGTTCAGGGAATTCTGGGAAAGTCCATTTACGGTTATTCATCAAGGAAACTTACTGTTAACCAGGTTACACATTTTTAAATCAGCCAATTTTACAGTGTGTAGATACTTTCTGATATGATTGGTTTTACTGCTTATTCATGTGATGCATGTTTCGTATAAAGTATGTCAAAAGTAATAAGTGTCTGTTTGTGGTTCCAGTGAGCCCTGGATATCCCACTGCTCAGGCCATGTACCCCCAGACACAGCCAGGTCATCTGCACCAAGAGACATTGCATCAGTTGGCCTACAACCCTGCCTACACGCAGCCAGCAAAAACAGGTTTTTAAAAACCGCACACGTCTGTCACGTCTCTATTGAAGTCTGGAGGTTGATGCACATTGCATGACAGGAAAACGGTGCAATGTGCTGCAAGACAAAATGAATTAATCAGGTGACGACTAGTATTCGACTGAGCCTTTACAAGAATATACCATTTCAGTTTAGCCTTTGACTTGAAAATTTTACATTTAATTCAATGTGTTACTGTTTCTTTTTAATTGTGAAATTTACTAGCAGTTTCTAAGTGATTTTCCAGTGTTTAACAGTGCAGTATTGAGCTGTATAATATATCAAAGATACTAAAAGAGTTCGAGTTTTTGCTAGTTGACATGATTCAGTTTCAGTTTTATTCAATTTTGAACATGAAAAATCTGTAATTTTAATATATCAACTAGCATTATCTGTGATTGTTTTAAAACAATTTAGAGTTCTACTAAAATGCAGTTAGATTTAAATAACTAAGCAGCTTACAATATTCAAATGCTGTAATCTGCAATTATATGCAGATTCTCGCTTTTAGCTAGTGAAAAGCAAAGATTAAGAAAGCACTTGGTTTTGTACAGTTTCTTTTATATTATGTCAGGTTATGTCTACCGGTTACAACTCTTGTACATTTTAACAGCCGATTTATTCTGAAGAGCTTACTGTGTGAGAGATGTGAAACACGCATGGCTCAAAAAAAGAGAACAAAACAACTGATCTCAGATGTTTAAACCTGTGAAAAACAGGACTTTAAGGCAACAGTTTATGTATGTTCACCATTTGAATGTTTCTGAAAGAAATAAGAAACAATACCTAGTGTTTGTATAGTTTATCAAACTGCAAGAATGTGTAAACTTTTACTCTTTTTAACTTTTATTGTTTTGATGTTGAATAAATGTTTTGAATATGATTCTACAAATCCTATATTAGTCGTAATTTTTCACGGTGTTAACATAGTCCTCGTTTCCTCAAGATGTTACATTTATTGTAAGAAAAACTACCTAAATAACATGTTTGGCGTCGTTAAACTATGGTACAAAACAATTTAACCATGATTTTGCTTCACTAACTACAGTTTAACCATGGTATTTATAGTAAACAAACACTATGCAAAAAACGTGGTTACTACAATTCTACTATAATAAATCCAAAATTGGACATTAGAAAATTGGAAAAACATTGCCTGGTCTGATGAGTCTTGATTTCTGCTGTGACATTCGGATGGTAGGGTCAGAATTTGCCGTCAACAACATGAAAGCATGGATCCATCCTGCCTTGTATCAGTGGTTCAGGCTAGAGGTGGTGGTGTAAAGGTGTGGTGGATAGTTTCTTGGCACACTTTAGTGCCAATTGAGCATTGTGTCAATGCCACAGCCTACGAGAGTATTGTTGCTGACCATGTCCATCCCTTTATGACCACAGTGTACGCATCTTCTAATGGCTACTTCCAGCAGGATAACACGCTATGTCATAAAGTGGGAATCATTTCAGACTAAACATGACAATAAGTTCACTGTACTTAAATGGCCTCCACGGTCACCAGAACTCAATCCAATAGAGCAGTGGTCCCTAACCACCAGGCTGCGTGGAACAATTGGTACCGGGCGACATAAGAAATCATAAATTATTTCTGTAGAAAATATTCCCCCCGCGACTTGGTTTCTTCCACTCACCCCCGCCATCTCACGTATCTCAAGTCCACCACGGAGCGGGAAGAACGATCGCTAGAATATAGCTCAGTGGTGGTTGTTGATAGTTTAAAGTTATAAAACAGGTATTATAGAGTCCAAATCAGCAGAGCATTTAAGGATTGTGCATATAACGTTATGTTTTAATTCGGCTAACTTATACGATTGATTGTATTATTGTTAATATGGTCGTCAGTTGAAATGTTTGGCACAGATGTTATGTATTTGATGCATACAAACCTTGAATGAAACAATCAGACCGCGATAGTGCAACTAGCGCACTGAGTTGTTCATGATTAACCTGGATGCACGAGCGCAGCTGCTGTGTTAACGTGAACACCCCCCGGCCCACACACGTCCGTTGTAAAATTGACAACCGTTGACCGGTCCGCGTGATAAAAAGGTTGGGGACCACTGCAATAGAGCACCTTTGGGATGTGGTGGAACGGGAGGTACTTATACTAAACACTACGCTACAAAAACATTGTTACTACAATTTTACTATAATAAATCCATGGCTAATTTGTTACCAACCATCAATGTAAGCCCATGGGATCCTTGAACTGTATTTTTGTATCCTTAATTGTGTATTTTTACAGTATGCTCAAAAGCAATTCATAACTTCTGTGACAAAAGCTTCCGCCAGATGAAGAGGGATGGGCTTGGTGTGTGGGTCCAACTACTCTAATTGACTCGATTGTCTCTGATCGAGAAACATTATAAAAATGGTCGTCCAAAATCATATACCGTCTGAGACTATACATCCTTTACAAATCAGCACACTCATATTAATATAATTTATTATATTATATTGATCTATTATTAATATAATGTGGACCTACATCTAAAACTAAAAGCATTCAAGCAACCTCAGTTGTTCTTGTTAAGGATGTAAAGGAAGTTTTTAAATACCCACACTTGTGGTCTTTGCACCTAACTTATTTTCTGCATGACGAGTTTCCTGTTTCCTATTTGGCTCATGGTTATGTGGATGTCTGTGAACACTGTCGTATTTTGACTTTGAGACACAAAATATAGTGTAAAGTGCAAGTAAGGTTTTGACAGGGTTTTATTTCCCCCTTAAATGTTGTACATGTAACACTAATCTACAGGGCTCGTTTCGATAAGGAGTTTCAACCTACTCTGAGATTAAACTTGAACTCTTGAGTTGACTTTCAGATGGGAAACTCTGGGTTTACGGTTTCAAATCTGATGAATAGAGTTAGTTCAGTCAGACAGAGTAAGCTGACTCTGAGTTAACCTTGCATATGATTTGAGGACCGAGCTAATGGCATGAATCTGCATTTAGTAATTGACATTCTGAAAAATCTGTTTTCAATTTGCGTTTAGATTATATTTTTACGTAAGCAAAATTCACTTTATTTAGATGGCCCCCGGGAACGAGATGCAGACATACCATTTTAATGCGTTTTTAAACCTGCTCTCTTTATTTAGAGGACAGAGTTTATACATGAATATTTATACACACACACTCACCGTATTTCAGAAATGCTGACCTACTGGGATTTTCACGCACAACCATATCTAGGGTTTACAGAGAATGGTCTGAAAAAGAGAAAATATCCAGAGAGCAGCAGTTCTGTAAGAACAAATGCCTTGTTGATGCCAGAGGTCACAGGAAAATGGCCAGACTGGTTCCAGCTTATAGGAAGGCAACAGTAACTCAAATAACCATTCGTTACCACTGAGGTATGCAGAAGAGCATCTCAGAATGCACAACACGTCCAACCTTGAGGCAGATGGGCTACATCAGCAGAAGACCACACCGGGTGCCACTCCTGTCAGCTAAGAACAGGAAACTGAGGCTACAATTCGCACAGGCTCACCAAAATTGTACAATAGAAGATTGGAAAAACTAACAAGTCTCGATTTCTGTTGCGACATTCGGATGGTAGGGTCAGAATTTGGTGTCAACAACATGAAAGCATGGTTTCATCCTGCCTTGTATCAGTGGTTTAGGCTAGGGTGGTGTAATGGTGCGGGGGATATTTTCTTGGAACACCTTTGGGCCCATTAGTACCAATTGAGCATTGTGTCATCGCCGCAGTCTACCTGACCATTGTGACACGTAATGTCATTAAGCGCGAATCATCTCAGACTAAACATGACAATAAGTTCAATGTAATCAAATGGCCTTTACAGTCACCAGATCTCAAGCCAATAGAGCACCTTTGGGATGTGATGGAATGAGAGAACCAACAAATCTGCTGCAACTGCGTGATGCTATCATGCCAATATGGACTAAAAATCTCGGAGGAATATTTCTAGTACCTTGTTGAATTTATGCCACGAAAGATAAGCAGTTAATTAACATGGTACTAGTAAGGTGTACCTAATAAAGTGGCCGGTGAGTGTATATGAACTAATAAAATTTAAAATCATATCTTATATGGTTACTAAAAAGTTCTGAAAACAGTCTTTAACACTCATTAAAATCTTTAGTATTATGAAACGCACACAAACCAACAACAGGCCTATTTCTAAACTATAGGCAAAATCACCAGACAATGAAAGGCTTATTGGGTCAGTAAAGTTGCAAAAAGTACTTTGAGATTGAAAAATCAAAGTTCTTTAAAGAGATAATTCACTCTTCAACTTCCATAGCAATTAATAGTGTTTCCTATAGAAGTTGATGGGTACAAGCAACCAACATTTTTGTATCAAAAAGGAAACTTCTAAAAGTTTAAGACCCACACAAGGGAGAGTTAGAGAGTGATCATTTTGAGCATCTCTTTAAACCCATAATTTAGCGCAAAACTAGCTTAGTATTTAACTAAGGTGAAGACAACCTTTCTCATGCAATTCCGTTAAAGTTTGGTCAAAGTGTACTTCTATATTACACAATTGTAGAGTTTGTTTCGTTTTCGTTTCTCCCAAAAAGCTCCTGCTAAGGGGGGGCAATTTCATGGGTGATCCGCATTGTGACCGATTTCCGGTTCATTCAGCCATATTCATTCCTATTGTTGTCAACCCAACATCCTAACCCATTTGTTATGTGCCGTTTTATTACCAATTTCACGCAAAAACGTTTTGGCTCGTTATTGTGATCTAGACGTCACAGTGTCGGGAGTCTTGCGGGCACGAGGTAAACCAGTAAGATAAGCAGGGCCGGGCTGTTTTCTTCAGGCTGTGGGCGTCTTTTCTTCTCATATTACACCAGCCGGACTGAACGCGAGAGAGCAGCGCTATGGCGTCCACCGTCCCGGTTCTTCTGCTCCTGTTTGCGGGTTTATTCACGGCGACGCTCGGTAAGTAATTAAAATTTGTAAAGAATTGCTTTTGTAAACGTTCAGTCTTGTTTATGTGGTATGTTTTGTTGTTTATTTCACGTAAACAGATGAATATTTAGTGTATAGCTGGACCTGCCCTGATAAACGCACGACATGACTGGCGGTGGCATGTCAAAACCGCAAAACGTGCTAGTTTTTGTTGGCACTTAGTGTATTAACCTCCAGATATATCTGTAAACCAAACATCTCCTTTTCATGTGTGCCACGTATGAGTTTTCCTGATGTGGGTTTTAAGGGTTGTTTTTAGTAGTGGTCGTTTTTTTGTAATCGTAAATACTGCCTAATAAGTAAACATTTAGTTTGCTTGTCTAAAGGATATACCTTTGCGATATTCATTTTGTGTATTTTTAATGTTATTCTTGTGTAAAGATGAATTTCCTACTTTTTATCATACCAGGAGTCTAAAATTTGCTCACAACAAGTGACGCAACCCACCTTAAAGAAGTGGTTCTTAACCAGGGGCCGGGGACACTCTTCGAGGCCTAAGCTGACTGCTAAAATAAATTTTATTTAAAATATGTTTAAAATAAGATAAACAAACATCAAAATGTGCCCCTAATTTTTTATTTTTATCTAGTGATTTCCAAACCAGGAAACTTTACATAATAATAAAATGGGAAGTAATGGGTGGTTTTGTAATGAATGCTAATTTCCAAGTTTATATGCCCTGTAAAAAGAATACAGGGTTCTTACGGGTGCTGTAAATATTGAAGTAAGGTTTGAAAAGTGCTTACATTTTGGATGAAGTGCTGGAAAATATATTTTTTGTTTCTTTCATAGTTTATTGCTTATTAGGTAATAATCAAGAGTAAAGGACAGTAATTCAATGTTAGGCTTGAGGCCAGGGCTGGAGTGGGAATCCTTTTCAGCCCTGGAGTTTCAAGCCTCAGACCGGCCCACTTCAGTTCAGGACTGACTATATTATAAGGTCATTTCCATTTCAGTTTCTAATGACACTGTCACGTCTTTTTTTGAGAAAACAGCTGCTTTAGAACTTCAAATGTTCAACAACCCAAACAGTATTATATGTCTTAACAATAAAAATGAAAAAAAAAAAAATTTACTTAGACAAGGATCAAACCCAGGTCGGAGGCGTCGTAATCTTGTGCTAACCACTGGACCACAACAGCTGCTCATGAGGCTGCGAGAAAATAGATAAAGAGAGCAGAGAGCTGCGGTAAAATAATGAATAAGAAGACTGTGGTCAAGTAAATAAATAAATTAATTTAAAAAGTGTGACTGCTGGGAGCAACAGATTCTGGAGCTAGGGACACCGGCCCTCGCGGCCAAAAAAACGGACCGGCCCACCGGGAATTCTCCCGGTCCTCCCGATTAGCCAATCCAGGCCTGCTTGGGGCAAACCATCAACATTGTTTATTAGGTTATTATTTCATACCAATCGACAGAATACTCATCTAATACTAATAGCATCTGATGTTGCATGAAGTATGTATATGTATGTAAATCTGTCATTTGCCACGCTTGTAAAGTGCTGGAAAAGTTTGAAAATGCATCTAAAAAGTGCTTAAATTTGACTTTGGAAAATGTGTAATGACAGAAATAAATCCACCAAGAAAAGCTAAATACTGTAAATATTTTTCTTAACTTTTATATTTGTGGAATATAATAAATATAAAATATATGTGTGGAATCAAAATGGGTGATGCAGTGGCGCAGTAGGTAGTGCTGTCACCACACAGCAAGAAGGTCACTGGTTCGAGCCTCGGCTGGGTCAGTTGGCATTTCTCTGTGGAGTTTGCATGTTCTCCCTGCGTTCGTGTGGGTTTTCTCCGGGTGCTCCGGTTTCCTCCACAGTCCAAAGACATGTGGTATTGGTGAACAGGGTATGCTAAATTGTCCGGAGTATATGAGTGTGTGTGGATGTTTCCCAGAGATGGGTTGCAGCTGGAAGGGTATCCGCTGTGTAAAACATATGCTGGATAAGTTGCAGGTTCATTCCGCTGTGGCGACCCCAGATTAATAAAGGGACTAAGCCGAAAAGAAAATTAATAAATGTATGAAATCAAAATGTGCAATGTTTATTTTATTGGTGCACATTGTTTTTTATCGCGCATGTTAATCCACTGAAAAAAAGTTTGTTTTGGTAATCTTCAATTAAAGCCTGACCACTTCCTGACCTTCTGATAACATCTGTTTGATATTAACCATGCCACTCCTACCTTTAGTTTCCCCCGCCCCTACTCAATATTCTGCTCTGTTGGAAGTACATCAACATGCTGTTTAATGATGCATTGATGATTATTTTACTGACTGTTCAGTAAAGAAACATTAAAATAAGTTTTGAAAAGATAAATAGGGCTAGGGGGCCTTCAAATATATTTATGGGGGCTTTGAACCCCAATTACTTGAGGGTGCCAAAAAGCTTTGGTAAAAACCTATACATATGCATACAATTGATATAAAATCATCATATATTCATATATTTTTTAATATATTTTTTCTTGCATAAAACAAAAAAGTCAATTTCTGTAATCTATAGTTTAAGAACAATGGATGTTGACAGTCTATTAATATACTATAGTATATATGTCAAACAATCTCATAAATCCCAACTTGAGTTGTTTTCTTTATTTGTTGTTTAACTGCACATATGAGTTTAATTTTTCAAAAACATTTTGAATAGATGGACTTCTAATGCGATAACGTAATTTTACATAAAGTAAATAAAAAAAACGTAATTTTTTTGTCTGACGTTGGATAAAAATCTTATGACTTGCACTTTAAAAGCATAATTTTGAGCCACGTCTTTGTCTTTTTTTGTTGTTTAGCCGATGACGACTGCAAGCCCTACATTACCAGCAGTGGTAAAATGAGGACGTCCATTGATTGTGGATTTTTACAATTCTGTTGTGGGAATTGTGATAACAGATACTGCTGCTCTAATCCACTGAGTAAGTTAACAGAAGATCAACAAGACGACTGTTTTTTTTCGTAAGTATAATAGAATATACCCATCTTTCACACATGTAATCAAACCGCCTATACATTTAGACTTTCAGTACTAAAAACAATGGTTTTCCATTTATGATCCTTATTTTTAAGTCTGAAATCATTGATTCATGTTACCACAGATTAGTAGTCATTACATGTTTTGGTCAAAAAGGATTTGCAAATTAAAATAAGATCCTGATTAAGGTTTATTTGAATCAATAAAATGTGTGGTTTTTCACTGTCTGTCCTTCAGCAATGATTTTAATAAACCCATCGTTGTCGGAGTGACAATAACTGGGATTGTGCTCCTCATCATTGTGTTCATCGTCTGCTGTGTTTGTCCCTGCTGCTGCATCTACAAAATGTGCAGAAAACCCAGACGTAAGTAGTGCATATATACAAGTATAAATTGTAAATAAATGTGAAGCCGATGGAAAAGTATTTATTGAATTTACAAGCTCAATTTAATTAGAAACAAGTTAATTGGGATATTATTTATATGAAAGTTCAAGCATTGAGTATTTGTGCCGATTTAAATAAAAATAAATGTAGTTTTTACTGAAAAACCACTTTATTAACATTTAGTTTTATCATATTTTTCTAGTACACTATATTAATTAGATTATAATATCAATAGAATAATATTAATAATAGTCAAAAACAATGGGAAGGATTAGAATGAGAATTTCCAACTTTCTTAATTTTGATTTTTGGGGTTAAAATATGTGCCCAATGTGTTTTTTTTTGTTTGGTAACGGGGCATAAAAGTTGTTTAGACTTTCTCTGACCAAAGATACAAATGCTAGACTGCGATTTCTCAGAGCGGAAAATCTAAACTCTGAAGCATTCTGGGATTTCCCCACCCAGTCTGACTCATAAAGTCCACAGCAACCACAGACAGGGGGCGAGAGGCACAGGAAGAGGCCTATAGCTCTGGCAAAAGCTGCTGTTAATAACTATCATCATCACAAGACAGCTGATGTTTACCTGTGTTAACTTCTGTTACCAATGTTCTAAATAGAGTGAAAAAGTGAAGTTTGACTTCCCTATCCGGGTAGTGTAAATGTAGTGCCCTTCTAAAAAGTGACAGTGTACCTAAAAAAAGCTTATTGTACACTGTGCCTTCAAGAAGTTTATCAGTGTATTTTTCATTTATTCATTTTCTTGTCGGCTTAGTCCCTTTATTAACCCGGGGTCAACACAGCGGAATGAACCGCCAACTTATCCAACACGTTTTTACACAGCGGATGCCCTTCCAGCCGCAACCCATCTCTGGGAAACAGTGTATATTTATTACATCAAATAAAATTAATTAGACAGGTTGCCATGTCAGCTAGCTTTAAAATTTGCCTCGAGTTCAATATTGCTTATGTTTTTAGTTAACCATAACAAAGCGGACTATGTTTTCAGTGAGGTTGCAGAGCAGCATTTCTTCATAGGGTGGATTGGTTTTATTTTCGGTCAACTTAAGGTTTATCATATTATTAAAGTTCAATGTTTAGAATTAAGATATAATTGACCATTTTTAACAATATGATTGACAGTACGCCAATTGATATCTGTAAAGCTTGGAAATCAATATAATATCAATATTTATGTAGCACAAATAAATTATGAACATGATGTGGCATAATGTTTATTTAGTGACGTTTTTCTGTTGAGAAGAGTGTCACAAAGGGAACATATAGTTTGTGTTCAAGGTGTGTAGAGAATTTGCGCTACACAGAAGGTGTAAAAAGCAAAAACAGTCACTTGAACCATGAACATGTCTCTTCTTTATAGCTTGACTGAGGTGTCTGTCGAGAAAGCAACACCTGCTGTCATGAATAATTAAGCAGTGCATCTTGTCATAGGATGAGGACATGTGATCTCATGAATAACTCTAAATAAACAATGTGTCTGACAAACATCCCTCTAATACTCTTAAGAAGGAAGTAGTTGATTGTGGGCATGGACAGGGCCGGAGTGGGAGTCCTTTTCAGCACTGGAGTTTCAAGCCTCAGACCGGCCCACCTCAGTTCACGACTGACTATATTAAAATCAGGTCATTTCCAATTCAGTTTCTAATTACACTGTCACGTCTTTTTTTTTTGTTGAGAAAACAGCTGCTTTAGAACTTTAAATGTTCAACAACCCAAACAGTATTATATGTCTCAACAAGAAAAATGAAAATAATAACATACTCAGGCAAGGATCAAACCCGGGTCGGCGATGTTGTAATCTAACTTGCTAACCACTGGACCACAACGGTTGTATAGTGAAAGGTGACTTATAACATTATGAACCTGCAGGCTGGTTATATATAAAAAGAGCAGAGAGCTGCGGTAAAATAATGAATAAGAAGACTGTGGTCAAGTAAATAAATTAATTAATTTAAAAAGTGTGACTGCTAAGAGCAACAGATTCTGGAGCTAGGGACACCGGCCCTCGCGGCCAAAAAACGGACTGGCCCACCTGGGCATGGATATTACTGGCATGGCATTATTTATTCAGATAAAAACAAAATAGTACCAGTGTGTTTTATTTTTTAATTCCTTAATTTTAATGTGGTCATAAAATATTTTATAAGTACTCTATCACTGCGTTATCAATATACACCTTTGTTTGTTGTGAATACATGAACTCTAGTAGCAAAAAATTACATGTTAGGCCTTTAATGCAAGTTTCTATTTTAATGCTTTAAACAACTATTGTTAATACCAGGAATAAAAAAAAAAGATGAATAAAACTATGTTTAGACATCATTCAATATATTTGTATTAAAACTCAACTGCGCACTTATTTTCGCATCTTATTAAAAATTAAAATGCAGCTAATGCTAAATTTATTGGGTAAAACAGTGGTTTGAAGGATATTGCCAAAGTATAAATATGCAAAATGACAATGAATCTGTAATCTAAGCTGGATTGTGTCTGTCGTTAAATAAGATCATACATATGATCAAATCAGTTTTGCTCTGAATCTGAATTATGGTATTAATGTGAAAAATGTATGATTGACATTATCAGCACATTCTAATATTCATAGTTTTCATGCTCAAAAACCCTTATGACCTACACATATTGGTATAAACAAGTAAAACTATCCGCTCTAAATGCCTTTTTTCCCTCCCTCCAGCTGTAATGGGAGCAACAACTACCACAGTCGTAAGCACTCAGTGCATTCAGCAGCCAGTGGTTCAGGGCGGTCAGTACCCACCATATCAGCCCATTCCACCCCAGTCTGGCTACAGTGGTGCACCAGGTTATGGAGCGACACCAATGCCAAAAGCACCTTATCAGGGTCATCCGTACGCAGCCGGACCCCCTCCACCATATCAGGAAGCTGGTAAGATAAAAAACTAACTTTACACAGCTTTACGCAACTGAAAGGACATATACAGACATGCATGAAAACGTTTTTCTCAACCTTCTCAAATCTCAGCATTGAGCAATTATATGTCATTAAGTAGTTTCGCAATTCGTTCTTGTCTCATGACTTGTGAGTCAAAAGCATGACAGAGTTGTTATGTGGTTCCCAGTTTTTGTGGTTCCCAGTTATTCATACATTTATGTCATTGGAATGGTACAAATCTGGGTAACTGGGTTATTTCTGCATGAATTTACACATTTCATGATACAATATTGTCTCGATTATTTTAACAGTATTATTTATATTGTTATTTCTCAAAATGAACATAAAAAAAAAAACCAGACAATAATAATACAATATGTGTGCCTACTGTTGGCTAAACTGCTAAATGTAGTGTAGACTTGAACAGATTTTAATCCTGGATCTCAATGCGCTGGACATCAGAATACAACTATTTATAATTCTGTAGTTGAATTATTATGTTTGATGCATGTTTACACTGTCATTGACTACATATTATAAATAGACCATTTTTACTTTTAGACATTTCAGACATTCGTCATTATCAGGTTCCCTCTTGCATTTTTAGGCATTATACTTAAAGTTATACAGTTATGTTCCGATCAGGATTTTTAAAGCCGATACAGAGTACTGAGTCCTCGTCATGGTGATCGGCTGATACCAAGTACTGATTCTGATGCTTCAAGCTTTATATAACTTTAACATTGCATAAAGCTAATTTTCCATCTAAGTACAACACTTAGGTGGAGGTAACTCCTTTCTTAAACGAATAAATAAAGGATGTTGCATGTGATCCTTTAAACGAGTCACTTGTAACCATTAAGTGTGGACACATCATGGTCAGAAGCAGCTTTACAGAAAATAATAGATTACATGGGTAACACATTTGGTAAGAAAAATAATTGACAATGCAATTTGGAAATATTGCAAATGATGGAAAAAGAATTCAACATGCCTCAATGAAGAAAAAATTTGGAGTGCAGTTTTGATTCTAAAGATAAAATGAATCTTCCTCGGCTGCTTGTAAAGCCACAAACTTACCGCAAAACACTTACGATTGGTGATAAGCGAGTATTGATCAAGTCATAAAATGTGTATTAGATATTTCAAAAACCAAATTATAATTCCTACCCGAGTAGCTACAAATGTTATGCTGAGATCTTATTTAGCAAAGTGATTGCTTTACGAAACAAACCGAACATTTACAACTGCATTACTCGTTATTCACAGCCTGAGCATGTACGATGAAGTATGCACTACGAGCGTCTTGTGGCATAATGACATGGTCATGGGTGCTTCCTCTTTCTGTATGGTGAATAAACCCACGTGTCAGTACAGCTCATAAGTAATTTTGCAACACATAAGTAACGAAGTGATGATGAGTATTGTTTCTCAATATTACGATGTATCGTTAAACCACCAGTGAACACACAATAAAAGAAAAAATCGTGGAAAATTTTAAATTCCCTGAAATAAAGTCAGTTTGTTGTTCACTGTCAGAAATGACCAGATTGGAAACAAATTTAAATAATTTATGTATTTTTATAAAATCCCGACAATACTGAATGTAAAACGGAACTGAAGCAGTACATTCTAGGGATGCTCCGATCAATCGACCAGAGACCGGTATTGGCTGATAATCACAATTTTTTTTTAACTTTATCGGTACTCGCCAATCTGGCCGATCTCATGAATCGATCGCAAGTGTTTGTTTACAAGTTTACAAGCAGAGGAAGACATGCATGCTTTCCTGTATATTACACATCAGCAGCGATGAAACATGCGAGAAACATCATTTATTTAAAATAGATAAGTTTCATGATTTTATATAGGTATTTTCTCAATTTAAAGCATTCTTTGTGTATTAAATGCTAAATTTGTACTAAGCTGTGTAGTGTGTTATCCATTTCAACTTAATTTGGGTTAAATTTGTTTGTTTTTTGGAAAGTAAAAAAAAAACAGGATAGAGCTATCATTGACTCAGAATGAAGCTGTAAATCTTCCTGTGTTTTTAGGAGGCCCGGGATATCCTGTTCCCTACAGTCAGGCTGCTTTTGATGGTGGACAGGCCTCATATCCCATGCAACCACCCGCTCAGCCTGGTTACGGTCAACCAGGTTATGGTCAACCAGCTTATGGTCAGCCTGGTTATCCTCAACAACATCCACCAACAGACTACAGTGCAACTCAACCAGCCTATAATCCCGCGTATGTGGAGCCACCAAAGCCCGGCTACTAAACCACAAGCTGGATGGTTCATTTTGTGCAGTTTCATGAGCAGGTTCTACTACAATTGTGATTGTATAGCTACTGTGGACAGAATCCCCCAGTCAGGTTGAAAACGAAAATGGTGTCTGCTATCATTGTAGCTTTAAACTCTGTGTGCCAGCGATTGCTTTCTTTACACTTCATTTTATATAAATGTATTTTTTTTATCTTTTCCGGCCATTATCTGTGACTCCAAGCCATATTCTGATTTTACTTCTACTAAAAAAGGGAATATGTTTGTTTTTGATAAACTGCTATACGCCTTAAATCTCGTCAGCTTTGTTTCATCCTGGGAATTTGCACAAACTTGACACTTTATCCGTTGGTTAATTTGAGCGATGCCAGCATGATTTTTTCACAGTTTACGTACAATTCAGGTTTCTGCGAATGTTTGTAGCAGTGTTCTCATGCAAAGATTTCCAGAATATGCCTTATTTGATGCAGCTTATGCAGCAAGAAAGAAGTGGACACCTTAAATTACAACATTCCCCCTGCGTGTTTGGATTTGAGGAGTAAGAGGATGCCATTTTAAAAATGAGTATGTTGTAGCGCTGCAATTGGAAAGAAGACATTTTATAAATTTACCTTAAGAGTTATTTAATTGAGGGTCTAAAAAGCTGTGAGGAAAAACATCTGTTATTCTAAGCCAAATGTGAAAGTTGCTTTTGACAACTAATATATATATATATATATATATATATATATATATATATATATATATATATATATATATATATATATATATAATACAGTATATATATATATATATATAATACAGTATATATATATATATAAATAAATCACTCCAGGTCATAAAAAGGTGAAATTTTAAGGTGTTGTTCAACTGTTGGATAGCTCTCTGGCGACACACTGTGTTAAAGATCATTTATATCACTCTGTACAATCTTGCATATATTTCTATTGAGTTATGTTTTAGAGATGTGCTCGTTTAGTTATTAACTGTACTAATGTTACTTACTAATCAGTGTTTTGTTCAAACGTTTGTATTCAAGCATCTCCATGTTTGCAACTCATGGCAAATAAATAGAAATTGTGCTGGAGCCAGTTTAAAATCAATTTCACTGCCAACAAATGACATTTCCCTCACATGATTTACATTTTCACATTATTTGACTAACATAGAAAGTTAAAATGTGTACGACCTTACGAAAATAAACTGAGCTAGTTTAGTAGCCGTTTTGTGTACTGATTTATATGACCATAGTATTAATAAGAATACAACGGTTAATTTTCAATAAAACAGTTCACTACTGTTTAATTAACTACATAATGGTAATTTACTTTGCGTTACAGCCATATTATACAGTCTTACAGCACATACCATTTATTGTCGTGTCACAAACACCGTCCTCATGTCTTCTTGCTAGCATTAGCATTTCTCACTTGTCATTCAGCTGTGGTATCTTCTAATAATATTCGCCCGCCTTCATCAACCGTCCGCGATAACAGAAACCGGTGCTACTTTCACGTCTCTTGTATCACTCCGCGTTCAGTTAATCGGCTGTGTTACTTACCTCAGATTACCATTCATATTTTTTGGCAGTGTTCGTCATGTTGTTAGACTGATTATTTTGTACTTCGAGATTATCATTATTGGATCACGTTTTACAAGCCAGGATCCTTTATATATATATATATATATATATATTTATATATATATACTCTTTCTACAACCACCTATATCTACCACAAAATACCGTGGTTAAACAATGATTAGTGTGGGTTAATACGTGACTACAATGGTTAAACTATACAACAATTTTTATATAGAATATTAAATTCTTTCATTAGTAGCATTATAAAGAAAGGTAAGCAGCAAGTCATTAAAGCATGTTTCTTACCCTGCACATTACACCCATACAATTACTTCTACTCAGCCCAGATAAATATTACTAATTCGTCACTTGCTGTTGACTTTTCTTTGGATTATAGACAGTGACTATTCAACAGTAATGTGCTTACAAAGTATTAATATTCTGTAGTCCCTAAGGAATCTGAGCACCACATGTGATGTACAATTAATTCTTTAATTTCCAATCATCAATGTTCTGTAGTCTTAAAAATGAGGACATGAGACAAAAAATCAGACTGCTTCTACCAACTTTCATCGTTTGTTACAAAATTTGACTTTATATTTGATTGTTATGACCCTGTTTCCACATCCATGTCCTCAACATACTCCGTTTCAGACCTGCAGATCTCCTCCAGAGCCAGTTCTGCAACCAAACAACAACATGTAAAGTTCAATCCATCATAACTGACTATTTTTAAACCAAATATGTTTAAACCTTTAGGCTTTAGTGCACCCCCCAAAAATAATTTGGCTATTAATTTACTTCTTGTGTCAGGATATCTTCATTAGAAGAACATAGGGAGCAACAGGTATTCATTTTATTTAGCCTTTATGTTTTTTAACCCTCAAAACGAAGGTAGCAACTGATTTGAATCATCAAGGACCAAAGTTTCAGTTAAAACAATCTGAAAGTAAGTAGTCAGCTACACTGTGGAAAACCTGAGTAAATTAACAGCAAATCTTCATTCATGCGGTGAACAATCCATTTAAAGATTCATAACTCTATTTTAATTTAAAGCCATATAAAGCAATATTAACATGTATTACCATAATCAAATAAAAATGCATGAACCCACCTTCGCTCTCGGACAGATCTGGGAGCAGACGGAAAGTGTCCCTGATGGCGGGAATGACCTGATCGTACATGTGTAAGACGTCCAGACAGTGTTCGGAAAATGCTGAATCCTTCAACAGCAGCCAGTGCAGTAACATCAGTGCTTCTCTCAGTACTTGCAATCCAGGACTGGACCAGATCTGTGTACCCACCGTTTGACCTCCTCTGCATTTCGTTTTCAGCCACTGTCGGTGTAAAACTACAACGACCGTCCGCACCACCTGAAGAGGGAAAACATTTACAGTTGAAGTCAAAATTATAAGCCCTCCGGTGAATTTTTGTTTTCTTTTTCAAATATTTCCCAAATGATGTTTAACTGAGAAAGGATTTTCCACAGTATTTCCTATAATATGTTGTCTCCTGCAGAAATTCTTGTTTTATTTCGGCTAGAATATAAGCAGTTTTTAATTTTTTAAAAACTATTATAAGCTCAATATTATTAGCCCCCTTAAGCCTTTTTAAAAAAAAATAGTCTAAAGAATAAACCAATCGCTAAACAATGACTTGCATAATAGACTTGTAAAAGTAAAATATAATGTACTGTCATCATGGCACAGATAAAAGAAATCAGTTATTAGAAATGAGTTATTAAAACTAGTGCTGGGCGATTTATCGATCAAATTTTTCCAGGTCGATATTTTTGATTACTTTCCCTGCCGAGTCATGTGACCCCAATGAACTGAAATATGTTTAGCACTTTGCACCAGATCTGATCTATATGGCGTTATTTCAATGACAAACATCGTGAGCACAGTATTACTAGTAAGGAGCGCATTCATGTAGTACGATCGCGCAAACTTCTTTGCTTGCATGCCAAGTTCCTCTGTTCATTCGCAAAACTTATTGCGCTTAAATATAGGCAACTTTAGACATCTCTGCTTTAAATGAAAATATTACCATAAATTCCCCACCCCCTTCCATTTTAAATCTAAAAAATAAATAAATAAATAAATAAACATTTCTGGATCAAACCTCATTAACACACTGGCATGATGATTCGCAAAGAGCCGCCCATGTTCCTGCCCTCTGTGTGAACAGCTTAGTCAATAACCGGATGACCTGTTGACAGAGGAATCTGATATTTCATACAGCGTTTATGCAAGTAATACATTTCTAAACAAAAACGTACAAGATGAATTACCACAAGCTCCAAGCGACTCCACGCGTCCTCAGTAGAGGATTTATCCGGTCTGGATGTGACGTACTGGAATATTTTAAGAAAAGGACACGGATCTGGAGGAAGAGGGAGGGTTTTTTTTTTTAATCATGCAAATAAAAATACATTTAAATGGAAGACTAAAAGACACTCACAGTCATGCAAGCAGAGCTTAGAGGCCATCTCGTCATTACAGATGATAAACGACAGAAATCTCACACACAGATGGACGATACTGTAGGTGGTCTCCAGAGTCAGGCATTTAGACAGCACTGGACTGGACATCACCACCTGGAGCCTACATTTCAGAAACCAGAGAGTAGCTTAGTTGACCAAAAAATAAATACAAAAAACTTTTTACCCATTTCTAAGAGAAACCACATTTATTTATTTATTTATTTAACTTTTTTCGGGAAAAAAAGTGTCATTAAACAAACCACAATCATAAAAAAAACAAGTACTTATATTACTGCAATTGAAGGGATAGTTCACCAAAAACTAAACATTCTATTATCATTCACTCACATTTGACTTCTTCATAACCTGTTTGATTTCCTTCTGTTGAACACAAAAGAAGATATTGTGAAAAATGCTGGCACCTGTAACCATTGACTTCTATAGTATTCATTTATCCTACTGTGGTAGTCAAATGTTACAGATTTCCTGCTTTATTCAAAACATTTTCTTTTTTTAACAGAATTAAGAAGCTAATAAATATTTGTAACCACTTGAGGGAGTGTAAATGGAGTAAATTTAAATTGTTGGGTGAACTATCCCTTTAAATATGCCATTTAATGTCATCTTTAATAAATCAAGTCTGGGAGTTTCCATATCCAACCGTTCTTTAATGCATTATTTCTAGTAATTCAACAGCCTGTAGTCAACTATTCCTTATACTGTTGGGCTTTTAAATGCTTGATTCTGATTGTGTGTGGAGTTATTTTCGGATAAACACTTAGCTACAGTAGCCCCAGGGTGGTTTTAACTGCATTACAGTCTCATATCACTACTACACTAATTGATTTCTGTTATTTTACAGCTACAAAATTCGGAAATAAAAACAAATGGCTTTGGATGAGACCTGTAAGAAACTAGTCCTACACACAGGATTAGTTTGAGGACAAAAACCTGATAAAAGACTTAAATTTAACATCTGAAAAGTGTAATATAAATCAAATCATAGTATAATATAAATAATTAACACCTGACCATCAAATTATTAGAAAATAATGCAATGTGCAGTTTGCAACAGGACCACAACATCACTTTAGGTATGTGTTATTTTCGAATAATCAACCCCTTTTCACATTTCCTTGATTCTCAGCAGCGTCATGATTGGGTAAACTAAAAGCACAGTGAAAGGAAGAGTACAACTAATTATTTTTTTACAATCCTATTTGCTAAATTTTTTTTTTTTTTAGATTTATTTTTGGCCTTTTTGCCTTTATTAGATAGGACAGTATTGAGACAGGAAGCGAAGTGGGAGAGAGAGAGAGGGCGTAGGGTAGGGAAATGTCCTTGAGCCGGGATTCGAACTCGCGACGCCCTGACGTGCAATTGCACCATATGTGGGCGCACTAACCACTAGGCTATTGCACAGACTATTTGCTGAAATATTAACAAAAACTCAATAATAGTGTTATCAAGACTTTTAGAAAAAGGAAAATAAATTGTGTGAGACTGAACGGCAGCCAGAACAGAGAATAACGTCAAATTTAGTCCTTTCCGTAGACGCTGCATTAGAAACACCTCACATATGCGGTAACTCCTTTTTTGTAATTTGATGCAAAGATGATTTAATGAATATTAAATACATATAAATATGTTTTTTATTTAAATATTTAAAACCTTAAATGATTTAAAATGATGATATTCGTTAAATGCGTCATAAGAATCTTGTGAAAAGTGTCTATTCAACAGCCCTGCCCATCGTCAATTATTCCTTTCTTCTTTACATTTAAACTTTTACATAGATTTTACACAGTTTCACAGTGTACAATGTTGAGTCTGGATTATAGCTGATTAGGAGACACAGCTCAGCAAATGACATTTGTGCAGTTACTGCAGAGTTTGACAATAATGGAGTGAAAGGTTATCATATGCGCCTGTTTTTGAGTCCTGTGACCATGTGAGCATTTCAAGCACAGAAAATTGTACCATTTGTAACTTTAGTAGATGTTACTTATACAATGAAAGT